ACAAGAACGTCGAATCTGAATCACTTGAAAAAAACACGGGGTGCTTAACTTTTTTCCAGGTGTATATTAATTTCCAGCAATCTTGTAATTTTTGTAAGCAGAATATCAAGTAAAATCACTGAACTACTACTAAGTACTAACAAGAGATATTTTTGGCTACTAAATATAAAACTAAAAACTTGTAATTCACATAATTCATGCATTTTTTTGTTCTGTATATGTTACAGCACACACCTGAAATTAACTAACTACTTTGGTAGAGGTGAGTTTAATATACCTTAACCAAGCATAAATTTTTACTATCTCTTTTGGAAATCTCCAATAACTTCAAATAATGTAACATTTTATCTATGCTCCTAAAATGCTGTTTAGATATTTATCCTTCTAAAAGAAAAACAATGGTGTAATAATATGTAATGCTTTTCTTTTACCAAAGTAGAATTTGGAGCATAGTCCCTAAGTTGCCATGCAGGTGCCCTAACTTAGCTATCTGGTTTCAAATGTCACAGGCTTATTATGTATTAATTTCATTTGTTTTGTTTGCACAGAAAATGGCATGACTCCTGAGAAATGTAGATAGTTTTTCTTGTCAAATATTATTTCTAACAGGTAGAATGAGCACATTTTAAAATTTCTTACAAGTGAATCAGTCAGACATTACTGAAATTATCCATGATATCTGAATTAACTTATCACTGGGTATGGTGAATCAGAGACAATCTAATACCATAACCAAACGTTCCACAATAGTAACTTCATTTTATGTCAAAATGTTAATAAAAGTTATGATAATGATTTGTTAAAAAAAGAAGAAAAGGGGACAAGTAAATAAAATCCTAAATGCATTTTGAACAAATGACAACATACATAACTAGGAGACATATTTCCATAATTTTGTCCAAATTTATTAAATTTCTATTAGTTTCTTTTACAAGCTGATGAATAAAAAATCACCAGTAAGGATAGTTACATTCAGCAACAGATTAAATCTAAAACTTGTGGATGTAATCTGTTTGACATATTCACAAATAATAAATACAAATGAATTTCATAACAATTGATCTGATATGTCCCCCAACAACAGCTGCTCATAATGAAGAACATATCAGACACATAGTTAAATCAAAGTCTTATTACACTTACAGAAAAGATACTAAAGTAATGGATGTGTCTGAGTTGAACAAAAAATGCCCCTTGGGGGTTTGGGATATGTTGATATTATTAATTTTGACAATATTAGCAAGAATTCAGAAAGCAACCACATTCTCTACACTTGCTGGCTTGGCTTAACTTCTCAGGACCAATACCCAACACTGCTGTGACTTGACCAATCCAGAGGCTGTCGGCACCAAGTAACAGTAAAGTAGACCAGCTTAAATCAAATCTGCAACATTCATAGGCATTTCTTCTACTTGAGTATTGTAGAACTGTTCAATGTCACGCAAGGTGCGTTTGTCTTCTTCTGTAACAAAGTTTATGGATACTCCCTTTCTGCCAAAACGACCACCACGTCCAATTCTGCAACAACAGAGGGTGAAAAGAAAAACTTCAGCAATAGCAATGACTACATTTCATAAAAACAAAAATTATCATAACTGTACATTCTTCACAAACAAAGAATCATGATTTTGAACCCTTTTCTACAAAACATGAAAATTCCAGTATAAAAGCAAATATACTAATTACACTAGATCAACCATTAAAAGCATCTGTTCTTAAAATCTATGAAAAATAAAATACCAAAAACAGGTGTCGAGTGAATGGAAAGTGTAGTCATGATCATAAACAGTAGTTATACTGATAAGCTTAGTGTAAAAATAGTTCTAATAAATGACCACCAATTAGCATCGAACCAATAGATGCTCACACACACAATATATATAATTAAAATTATAGGAGACAATATGTAACAATACAGTATTTCAAAACACAAAAAAATGTACTTTAAAACTACCTGATTGATGTATTCAGTTAAATGACATACAGTATTAGCTTTCTAAAAACAAAAAAAAATTCACCGACAAACTCATTCTTTGTTGGCCCAGGAAGAAATATATGCGCATATATTGGTGTAATTAAAGCTATATAATATCCGATTAAAATATCTCAACAGGATACTTCAAGTAACAAAGAAAAAGCCAATACTCTAAATGTTTTGTGTGTTGATGAGATGTATTTTTTAGTGTAAAAAATTAAATATTTCACGGGTACTGCACCAATTCTTAATTTTAATGTGTATATAAAACATAGTAAAATATGGTTAAGGCCCTATTTATAATCTCACCACATCTGGAAGATCAATAAACTATTTTAGTCTTAATAGTGGGAAAACATGAGCTATAACTAACATACTTTTTCTACAATGAACAAAATTTTGTTTCTCCTCAACACACAAAAAACTTAGGATTATTCCAACACTATATACAACAAACAAAAGTACCAATCCTAAGTGATGGGAAAAGTTAATCTATCAATTTGAATTATTTGAAAAAAGTTAATTGTGTTGCACTTTTGGTTTCACTAAGAAAAGTAATTGTTGAGCATTTCAGTCATGCTAAGAGCCGCTCAACTATACCATACAACAAATCTTCATTTTTTATTCTTTATGTCACATCACATTTTGAAATGTGAACAATAGTTTCCTAACATTTTGTGTAGAATGTCCTGCGTGCAAAATAAAATTTGGCATCAATATTACTCATGCCTGTTCTCCCATCATTTCAAAAGTGAATGAATGTTGAGCTTTACCTGCATGTACAGCTTTTCAAATTAAGCGTGGGAAGCAGCCACTGTACATGGGAGACAAATGTACAGACAGACACCACAGTTCGCTATATATATATATATGTAAAATATTGACACCCAATTAATGTTATGTCAATGACCGAGACCAGACATCCAAGTATTTATACACAAACTGATGTGTAATCTACGTTTCTTCCAACTGACAAACTAGACTGTTATTATCCCACTTACAAGCTGTTAAACAGCAGGATAAGTAACTACAAAGAGGTGCTATTATTTAAGTTTTACAATCACAGCAGGAACTACAGAAGTGTCTTAAATGTTATGTTTACAGCTAGAACTATGACTTTAGACAAGTTATTTTAAAGGAAGATTTAAGACTCAGAGTTAGAGGTAGTTTATTGAAAAATATGTAATAAAAACTATAACGAAAAAATTACTTATATCTACTTCAACAACAACAAAAAAGTTTTTACTGTAACTCATTACACGTCAGTGCTACATATGTTTAGATCTTCCATGGTCTTAACTAACAATTTTCTCCTTGGTTAAGTTTTATCTCCTTAACCTTTCTGATATAATTATTGTTCTATGAAAGTTACTTATTTCAGTGTTCTGGTCTTGTTTTTTTTATGTTCTACAACCCATGCATTACATTTCCACCTCTCTATTTCAGTTAGTTCACATACTGGAAAGTTCTTCCAATACCTGTATATTTCTAAGTAGCATTGCATTATTATTCTTTTCCTCATGTCCCAACAGATTTTATACGACCAAATGTTTCCATCTTCTGCTTATTTTGATAAGTTTTATCAATAACACACTACAGGTAAATTTACAGTATAAAACACTCTACAGAAAAGAATTCTGATATTACACTATGTAAAATTTTGAATTTATTTTTCAAACATATTTTGTTATTATTTTTAGCTTAAATCTTCTGCTACTGGTTTTATCTAATTCTATCTAACTAACCATGAATGCATTATACAAATTAATCCTTTTCAGACTGGATGATTATCACTGATATTTAATTCTCTTCTATTCTCACAGTGAAAATTCTCAACCTAAGTTCTTGAAACTTGATTTAAATTGTAAATGGTGTCTAGTTTCTACACAACGTAAGCTTTAATATAGTATTTGAGGTTGTGAAATATCTAAAATTTTGTTGTGAAAATTGAATTTGGAAAATTAATAGACACTTCTTTTTTACCTTAAACTTTTTATTTTTTCATTACTGATCTGAAAACTCCATTTAAAATATAAATCAGTTTTCACATATTTGATTTTCATCAACATACTTCTTTTTGATACTTTTTTTTTTCCAACTGAAGCAATTAACTTATAACTGTAAATCATACAAACACACCATAATTGACAAACATTTGCTGGTGAACAATGACACTACTTTTAAACATGGCAACACCATTATCTTTTTTGCCATAGTAATGTGATACTTTGCTAACAATATTTTTGATTGATTTCAATTTATATATACTTATAATTAGTTTTTATAAAAGAAAATTATTTTTTGTATTGTTGTTTGAGCACAATATATTTAACATTATAAATAATAAATGAAAAAAAAAGAATTTTTATTATCCACTTCAATCAATATCCTTACCCAATCTCTTGCTAAAGAAATGTATTATTGTAGCTTTCAAATGGACATAAGACAAAAAATTATTAGAAATGAACATCATCAGAAATCATACAAAAAGATTCCAAACCTCTAAGGATTTCAAAATTATAAATTGTATTCCCTTTCAAAACTGGTAACCAATCCAACTTCTGAAGGATCCCTGGATGGTGCAATAAATGTGGTTAAACCATAAAATAACATAAAGCAAAGAAATGTAAAATAATTAACAAGCTACCAAAAATGCTCAAAACAAAATTGGAGAAATAAAGGTGCTAGAAAAAAAAAAGTTTTAAAAAATCTGTAAGTACAATGTTCAAATACCTAGAGACATGAAAGAAATGAAAGTTTGAACATTTTCATTCATAAAACAAACAAAATAAGCAATATATAATCCAAAAAAATCAATTCTACAATAGTTTAGAGTAAAGAATTGTTGAAACACAATTAAATTATATTTCTTTAATTAAATTTATACATTTGATTTGTGGACATGCATTTATATTGACTGAAACATTCACCTGATGAGTAACGGTTAATACTTTGTAACTGCAAAGCAATTACAACAAAGAGTAATATAGTTTGTTTCAAATAATTGTAAAAAGTTGCACAAAGGTTACCTGCAATAGCTGTCCCTACTACCAACTCTTGGGCTACTCTAATAAAATTTGACTATCACTCTTATAACATCTCATGACCTCCAAGTGCAGAGCAACGTGGACAATCACATTCACAGTCTGGCATGCTAACTACTAGGATCATGCCCAGCCCATACTGCTGTGTAACCATAATGGAATTCATTATGCATCAAAACTACAGTTACTTATATATGAATGTACATTTTCATTCTAATTTTGGCTATTAAACCGTTAGAAAAAAATAACATACCTGTGAATGTAATTTTCTCGATTTGTGGGAAGATCATAATTTATTACCAATGAGACCTGTTGAACATCAATTCCTCTAGCTAATAAATCTGTTGTAATCAGCACTCTACTTGATCCAGATCGGAACTCACGCATAATTACATCTCGCTCTTTTTGGTCCATGTCGCCATGCTGTCATGAAGAAGGGAAAAAATTAACAAAACAGTAGGGGATTCCAGCTTATGAATAATGCAAATATTCCAATTTCTCTGGGTCAACATTTTTATTTGCAGATTGTATGTCATTTCATTTACAAAAATGAACGTCATAAGTTTACTCATAAAACTCGAATATTTGTTCTAAAATCTATATTTAACAGCTTTCTGTCAATTTTTTGAAACTATTTAATTAGTGGATAATAATGTAGAAATTGTAGAATAATTAAAACAAAAATTATTTTCCCTTTGTATACAGTTCAGGCAGAGTATTCATGATGAAAAAACAAATGATGATGAACTGATAACAACTGCCTGGTTCTGGGTGACAGTTGTAGAGAAAAACTTGGAGGGCTAAAGATTTTTTAAGTGTAGCACAAGTAGAGTGGGCAGTGTTTCAAAAGTCTTCAATCTTTTGTATCAAGTTTTGCTTGGTACAGCCTAAAATTAATGGTACCTGTAAGTGCTGAGCAATGGTAGCCACAAACTGCTGACTTCTATGATTAAGTCTCCATTTAGTAAGGATTTCGACATGTTAACATAGAAAGATTATTCTTATTGTTTTTCAGATTTTATGCGAGCCTAGAATTCTGAAATTGCTTCAGTCTACTTTGTGTCCCCTTAACATTACATGTTCTGCAATAAGGAGAATTTTGTAGTTTCATCAGTCTTGTGCAGTTTTTGTATGTTCTTTTGTTCTTGCCCCAAAATGTCTTCCGGTTTTTCCAATGTAGGTCTGTTTGCATTATAATGGATATTTCATAAATGACTTCTTTTTTTTTCTTTGACAAGGATAGATCTCAGCAAACATAAATGTTAAATTTTTCACAAACACTTTACACATAAGGGAAGAAAATTATAATAATTTTTTTTTTGTTATATGTAGGAGTTGGTGTTTTTCAAGCTATTGGTGATGAAACTGGAAAAGTAGCCATTCTATCTAAAATACTGTTTGTGTTTGTGAAATTTGAACAATCTACAAAATACAAAAACAATCCAACTATTTCTCAGAAACAAGTGTAACGTTTCAACATGTAACTTTTTTACACTTATGAAGATTATTTGGTATTGGTGGCTTAGAATATAAATTTAGAACTGACTGAAAATCATGAGCTATTATTGAAATTATAAACACATGTCAGCTTTCACACAAGATTAAGTTCACTAATTAGCAAGGTACTTAACAATTAACTAATGTTCTTAATAATTCCTTTGTCCAGACAGATACATTTCAATTAATGGGGGCATTAAACAATGTTTTTCTATTAGCAGTTTTGAAAATATAAAAATCAGTTTCATAAAACATAAGATCTGTTGATTAAAATTCCCTTTTAAAAATAAATAATTAGCATATAATAACAATTACACACTTTTACTAGCAATTCATTTTCATATCTTTTTCATTTGCTGATAAAAGTATCAGTCACTTCATGTAAGGAATGAGGTATATTAAAAAAGCCATTTAGATTTTACTGCATTAAATTTAACATTATGCAAAAGCAGGATTATCATAAACTTTACCATAGCTGATACAGTGAAGTCGCGCTGATGCATTTTTTCTGTTAACCAATCAACCTTCCGTCTGGTGTTGCAGAAAATCACAGCCTGAGTTATAGTTAAAGTTTCATACAAATCACACAATGTGTCTAGCTTCCACTCCTAAAAAAAGTAAAAGCAATAAATATCTAGTATGACAATGGTAACTCTTAAAGAAAATTGTAAAGTACGAAAAAAACAAAAATAGTTGGGTAAACAGAAATATAGTTTCTGTTTTTGATGTTATGATTAAAAACCACTTAAACTAAGAATACTAAAAGCTAACAAGTTACTTGAAACTTGTAAGTGAATTTTGCTCCATTTCATACAACTATGCACCTAAGATTTTTATTTTTATTTTTTACTTTACAAATCCCGGAACGTCAAGAGTTTTACATAAGGTTCCTTTAATTCAGAGATAGGCAATTACTGGTATTTGCTAAATGATTAATAGACAGGCTCATTAATTGTTTAATACAAGAACGATTTTTCCTCTAACTTCCTGTAAAAAATATTTCACCAAATTAAGAGTTCTTGTGACTTCTAAAGTCTTTGCTTGTTTGGTAGAAACTTATAAAGGATAGAGAAATCCATAGTAAATAAATCTACAATAAAAATCTAAAGGAAACCTGAGAAAATATATACAAATACCATCATACCTAAAAACTTGAGCATCTAATAATAATAATATAAAAATAAATAAAAAATCAGAAAATACAGCTTTTTGGAATATGGCAAACAAAACAAAATTTAATGCTTTATAAATAAACTGACCAATTTTTCAGATATCAAATTTGGACCACCTTTTTGTGGGGTGCCATAATGCCAGTAAAGTGTAATAACATTTCATATAATACCATTTAGTTTCAAATTGATATAGTTGGTGCAAAAATAGCAATTCAGAATTCAATCCATAGGTAAGAACCTCCTATTTTCTGAGATATTAATATATTTATTGAATCAACCAAGGTGGCTCACCCACCTATTCTCATTTCTGAAAATACTTGCTTACATACACCTACTTTGCCCAATGATATGAATATAGCCAACTGAAAGCTCAGAATGTCCCCTGTCTCTGCAGAGTATTTATGCAAGAAACTCTTTCTTTTCATGCTAGATTATAAGCAGTAAGGTAAGACATTAATGAGCTCAAAAAATCATATTTTTTTTAGACCCAAATACAGCTTTGTTACTGAGCTTGATAAATTATTATGGAATTCTGTGGTATTGATAAAATAATTTATGATTTTTTGATATTTCAAAATGCATATATAGAACCTAAAAAAAATTATTGTATTTTACATCCTCCACGTTCAAAATTTGATAAGGCTTAGCAACTTACAGCAAGCAGCAAATGAGTACAAAGTTCATAACCAGAAGAGATAACTGTTTCTATACTTCTTTATTTACTGTTCTATGTTTTAGGGAAAAAAAGGTTAAGAACTTATTTGTAAATAGTAATAATGTATATATACATATATAATGTATTATAACCAAAATGTGACTGTATTGTACAAAATACTAGTCCACTAGAAATTTGAAAATTTTCTGATGCATAAAAGTATTTTTAATTTTAAAAATGAGAAAACATTACTTAAAAATATTTTTATATACTAAAGCCTTGTAATGTTTACTGATAATCTGCAAAATTTCATGAAGATAAGCTTACTGTACTAAAAGTTATAGCATGAAAACTATAACAAGCGCAAAATGGTTAAGAGGTTGGTCCCTGGGTACGAGCCATTGTGAGAGTTAAGTGACTGAACAACTGATACAACAAGATCCCTTATTAAGGTTATTCCTATCCAAATTATACATCTAATTCAAATTATGATAACCCACATGCATTATCTTGCATTAATTATAATTAAAACCCATCTACCATTTATTTGCCCAACTCACTAAGTGATCTAAATCCTTTTGTACAGCAGCAGCAGCCTCCTCACAGCCAGCAACACCCATGACCTTAATATCATCTGCAAATTTAAGCAATTTATTGACCATTCCTTCATCTATATCATTGATGTAAATCACAGACAGCAAAGGTCTTAAGACTGAGCCCTGAGGTACCCCACTTGTGACGTTAATCCAATTTGACTGAATTCCATTTGTAACAGCTCTCTGCTTTCTTCCATCCTGCCACTCTTCTATCCAATTTACTAACTTGCCCCCACACCTACAGAGATAAGTTTTTTCTCAAGCCTTTTATGTGGCACCTTGTCAAATGCTTTCTGAAAATCCAGATACATCAAATTTACACCCTTAATCTCATCATAAGCAGTAACCTTTTCAAAGTATATCAAAAGATTTGTAAGGCAACATTTTCCCTTAGTGAAATAATGTTGGCTATCCAATAAAATTCAAAACTTTGCAAAGCATTTTTATCAGACTTTCCAAAACTTTTCCCACAACTGATGTAAGACTTGTGCAAGAAGAAGAATATTGCTTAAACCTTCATTAGTAAAAACTGAAGAAAAAGCAGAATTTAATAACTCAGACATCTTGTATATGAGCCTTCCTTTATCGTCCCTCAAACGTCCTACCCCCATTCTAACATTTTGTTTACCCTTAGTGTATTTAAAGAAATCTTTACTGTTAAATTTTTCATACACCCTTTTTGATGTCCTAATTTACTGTTTGACCAACTTTCTTAAACTTCTAAATCTCCCGTCATACCAGTCAATTTAAACTTTTTATATTTGTGATGCTTTTCTTTAAATTTATCTCTTAACCTTTTGTAAGCCAACCTGGTTTTTACTTGCAGCCACTCTTTTCTTTCCATAAGAAATATGTTTATCTGGGATATTTAAAAATTTATCTATCAATTTTCCACATTTGATTAGTCTCTCCAAGTAACTCAGCTGTCCAATTCACAAAACATAACTCTTGTCACATCCCTTCAAAATTAGCTTTTTTTGAAATTTGTAACCAAAATATCATTATTTCTGATCTCCATATGCAGCAAAACATTAAACCTAATAGAGCAATGAACAGTTTCCAAAAACCTTTCTTCTTTGACTCAAAAATTTTCCCAATTTATATGCCTGAAATAAAAATCACAAACAATTATGACCCCATTAACAGTTGAAATCTTAATGTCACTCTCACTAATTTCATCATTTGGGGTTTTGTAACAAATTCCCATTAAAAGCCTTTTCCATTTATATCAACTGATAAAAACCTAAATGAATTTAATCTCCTTGCTGTCATCTTTGATACCCTCAAGTTCAACAGGATGTAACTCACATTTTACATATAAAGCTACTCCCCCTCTCTCTTTAATACTCTATCCCTATTAAATAACCTCTAACACTGTATTTTAAAGATATTTCTGTCATTAAAATTGTTTACATTTAACCATGTTTCAGTTATTCCCATTATATCAAAATCCTCCATTCCTATCAGTGCTCTAAAGTCATCTATTTTATTTCTTATACTTCTACTATTACAACAGTAATAATTAAGCCTACTCTTAGAACAACTTCTATATTATACTAATTCCCTATGTTAAACTTTTCCCTACATCTTATTCGTTTTGCACTTAGTTTATCCTGGCCTTCACCAGTGTTTAGACCTAGTTTAAAACTTCCCTTACAACTGAGTTAAAAGCTTTACAAACAAGCCAGCCCCTACCCTATTTAAGTGTAAACCATCCATTTCAAAAAGCTCCCTTCTCCTATTAAACTGATCCTGCAAGTCCAACTAGCTAATCTGCTCATCCTTACATATTAAACTAAGTCTAGCATTCATCCCCAAAAATAATTTTCAGCAGTATCCCTAATACAATTAAGTTATGGCTTTTTTCTTCAAATACATTTATCAACTCCTTGTACTTATCAATTAGCTCTTCTGACTTACCTTTCTGTACATCACTGCTAGCTCCCTTTATTATATCTATTCCTCTGTCAGTTATATCCTCTATCCATGCCCTTGGGTAGCATAATCTAATTATTTTCTCCCTATTTACCCCACAGATTATCCTATCCCCATGCCTTGTCAAAAACTTGCCTATAACCTCCTTAAGTTTATCATTCACGTCCTTCTCTGACCCTTTTGTTTTTCTTCCCTACAATAGTTCCTCACCACACAAGCCAAGGGATGAAATCTGTTGCTCAATAGAAAATCCTCATTACAATTAAATCCACTACTTTAAGCCCTAATAGTACTGTTTCTAACTTCCTGAATGTCACTGTTAGCTGACATATCCCTTGTATGTAAAAGCTTAAGTTCCTCTTAAAATTCTGCTGCCATTTCCCACAATTTTCACTTCTCTTTATCTATTGCCTCTACTTTAATTAGGATAGCCTACAACTTCTCCTCCAGCCTGCAACTCTACAAACAAGTTGCACATTTTCACTGCTAGCTTCCTTAAGAGTACATACCAGTCCTGAGTTCCCAATTAAAACTGACTCATTGCACCCATCACATCTAACAAAGTGTGAATGCTTAACTCCTACACTTGGTCTTAACCATTGTATTTGCAGCCTAGGAATAAATACTCAACACTAAATTCCAGTAGCCTATTAACACTAATAAGCCTAATGTTTGAGAATCAAATATATTACAGTATTTTATCACTACTTTATCTTCACACTAAAGTAAGTAAGTTTGTCTTTAATTATATAGAAGAGTCAAATAACTTTAGTTGATATTTATATAATAATACAATGTATTTAGCCTGACTTATAACGTACCTATAATTATAAGCTGAATTTAAACTAATGGATCTAAAGTCAAATAACCAAGTTTATCCTTAATACATGATGAGACAATTAGTCTTTAAATTGTACTTGTTTCATAAAACAACGTACTTAACCCTTTCAAGATGGGTCACAGGTGAAAAGCCATATCATCTCATTTGTTGATTTGCATTCAAAAATTTATTGCACTACTATTTCATGAATTTATGTCAATAGGTTTGGTATCAAATTGTAGATTATAATTCCAATTTTAGTACTATACTAAATTTCTTACTTGAAAAGTAAATATTAAAAACATGGATAAACATAGATTTTTTTGTGTACCATGTGGTATGTTGAATGCAGTACTAGTTCAAATTAGATGTTTGTGAAGTCAAAATACTACGTTGAAAAATTCGTACATCTTAGAAACTCAAATTACCAATATTGACAAGCTAAAATATAAAATAAGAACATCTTATCTTTTCTGTTTGCCAAGATATTGCTCATGTAATAAATCAAACACAGTGGCATCCCACCAACCTCTTTCCATTTTTGGAAACGCTTCCTTATATACACTTTCTTTTAAATATGACATGAATAACCAAACAAAAGCTCAGAATGTCCCCTTAGTGGCTTCCTCAGCCATTTTAACAAGCTTTGACGGCATTTCTTTCTTTTGAACCAATATTTCAAGGAGGTAGGGTATGTCTTTAGTCTGCTCAAAACTTCATATTTTTTTAGACTAAAATACATCTTAGTTAATAAGCTTGATAAATTATAGTGGAATTCTATGGTATTAATGTAGTAATTTATGATTTTTCAGTTATTCAAATGTATATATAAAACCTAAAAAAAATTCTTTTGTTTCATATTCTCTATGTACAAAAGTTTTATA